GGCCTGTTTTGTCACAATTAAACACTTGTTCAGGTTTCAATCCTTCAGCCTCTGTGTACTCCTTGAATTCCTGCACATATTTTTCAGCCGCTTTTTGGTCTGAACTGGCAGCCTCACCATGCCTTATCTTACCATGTATGCCACTACAATTCTTAAATCTCTCAAACCAACCTTTGCTGGCCTTAAATTCACTCGCATAACCACTAGTTGCAGGCATTTTTTTTAATTAAATCGTCATGCAACTTCCTAGCCTTTTCACATATGATCGCTTGAGAGATGCTATCTCCTGCTATCTGTTTTTCATTTATCTACACCAATAACTTTGAGTACTTGCGATCTCTGTTTCAAAAACAAATTTGCACCTTTTGCAAGAACAGCTTCCTTGATTGCCGTTTTGTTGGCCAAGATAGTAGCGATGGTTGATTGGGATTTGGTATACAACCTGGCCAGCTCCAAGACACGCACACCACTTTCGTACTTTGCAATTATCTCTTTCTTAATTTCCATACTAATTCTCACCCTTTTTACCACAGGGTTGGAACTAGAAGCTTTCTTGGGGCCCATGGTGACTTATTTTGCAGTTACAAGCACTAAAAACACTGGGATAATGTGAAATGTACCGAATATATGCATAGATGCGACCGCACTGGCTGGCTTGTAAACACTGGCACCCACGGGGCAGCTGAGGCACGCTCAGGTCACATGTGGGACGTGTCCCAGGTGAATCACGTTAAGCAAGTTTTTAATCGTTACACGGGCCAAAATTTTTACTCAAACACTTCGTTAGGCAAATTTAACGTTATGTGATGCGTTCGTTAGGCGAGGGTCCACTGTATTTCTTACCGCTAAGCATGCTGAAAAAGACTACTGAAATGGCATTCCCACAATGCATGACTGGCTCCCCGATTTTATATGGTGCACACTGACCATGGAGACCCATTCTCTCACATGTGGGCCTACCAGCCTTCTTCTGCTTGATTTGAAACCGCTAGAATTTTGGCATATTAATACATGAAACACGGTGGCTCGTAAGATGTATGTATACCACCGAAACAGCCAAAGGGTTCAAGGGCCATTCTTCTGTTAAAGTTATGTAATCCTGTTGGAATCATATCGAAGATGAGGTGGGAAGTACTCTAACCACTGTAAACATTCAAAATTAAACACTGGGAACAGGGCATTACCAACATAGCCTGATAGGTTAAGTTTACTGGTAGTCAGCAGAGTATGTACAGTGGACCCTCGGTTATTAACTGTAATCCGAAATAATATTTCCCATAAGAATTGATGTAAATAAAGTTAATCCATTTCAGACACCCAAAAATATTATCAAAAATATTACCAAACTTATTCTCAGGGCCAAAATTTTTCAAAAAAAAAAAAAAAAAAAAATTCTTACAAAATGATAGAGAATCTTTTTCTGATCATAATGATACCAAAAGTATGAAGTTTGATGGAAAACATATGGAATTATGCTCTTGCGAAGTTATCTGTCTCGAAGATATTTACGCATTGGCGATTTCGCCCACTTTGAGCCCTATTTTCAGCCAATTCCAATGTTGCAGTTGACTAAAATCATAGCCATTCTTCTAGAACTCCATTTGTTCTATTAATTGAGTACAATAATCCACCCATTTACCAGTTTCAACTACCCAAAAAAGTGGTTAGGTTAGGTTAGGTAAGGTTCGTCAGGAAACAGGACAAATGTTTCCTGACGCGGGTCTTAGTCAGATGATGACCCGCCTTTGGAGCTTTTGGTCATCTGACTGAGGCCTTCCGCTGGCTTACCGGTCCACCCCTTTAAAAATTATGGTCATTTATAACCATTGTTATATAAAAAAAAAAAAAAAAAAAAAAATAAGTGGTCAGATCTTGCCAATTTGGGCAATTTCACAAAAATTTCACAAGATGCCAGTTTCAAAATAAGGTCCAGAATAAACATTAGTCACATTTCTAGGCCCCTCTTACATTACTTTTGCTTTCCATTTTGAATTTTTATTTTCACAGAAAATAGAAGGTTTTCTGTTATGTATACTACTACATCATTGTAAAAATGGTGTAAATGATGTCAACACACTTGTGAAAGAATATTAGGCTCACCAGTTGAAGTGTATTAGATGTGTGGTGTGATTTGTTATTCTTGAACATCGGCAAAAATCTATCACTTTCACTACTTTGAGCTCAATTTCAAGGTACTTGCCATCTTGAAACCAATCAAAATTATCTGTTTCTGTAATATATCTTCCATTCTGTCAAACGAGACCAAGGAAATGAGAATATAACCATAAATACCATACAAAAATATAACCATAAATACCATACAAAAATACGCTAGAAAACACAGTCGGAGTTTTTTTTTTCATTATGCACTGCGTGCGTCATGATTTTTTTTATACTGCGCACACTGACCACACAGGCCCATTCTTTCATATGTAGGCCTGCCAGCTTTCTTCCACCAGACACAATAATAAGTGTGTATATTATGTATATTAAGTAAGTTTATGTTTTTGAAGAGAGGTGGGGTGTGATGTTTGGCGCTGGACTTTGTGATCATTCACACTGCTGCTTTTTGTTAGGTTGTTAAAGATTTGAAGTGATTGGCCGTGGTAGATCCCAAGGCACAAATACCATAGGCGAGGTAAGGGTATATGTATTAGAGAGTGATATAAGGTAAGGAGGGCCCTCTGGGGTACATAATATTGTGTCTTGGAAAGAATACCTACTGTTTTGGAAACTTTTTTAGCTATATGCTGGGTGTGGGTATGAAATTTAAGATTACAGTCAAGGTGAAGACCTAGGAATTTGCTCTCAGTGTGTCTTGTAATGGGTGAACCATTTATCGATATGTTTAGCTGGATATTTGATGCTCTGTTTCCAAAAAGCATGAAATAGGTTTTGTCTATATTGAGAGTAAGTTTGTTCGTCTTCATTCAGTTTGATATTTATATAGCTTGCTGTTTACAGTGTTACTAAGTATAGCTGGGTTTGGGTGGGAGAAGACATAAGTGATGTCATCTGTGAATAGAACTGGTTTAAGGAGTCATGATGCATTTGGGAGGTCATTGATGTAAATAAGAAAGAGCAAAGGACCTAGGACACTTCCCTGTGGCACTCCAACAACTACAGGTTGAGTATTGGAGGCCATGCCATTTGTGTATATGTACATACTGGTATCTACCACTAAGATAAGCAATTTCTTCAGCTGCAGTCTGTTGCTGTTGCAGTTGAAGGTTTTTCTGCTCTTCAGTGGTTAGCTCCTCCCTGTGGTCCTCCATCAACTCTTCCACATCCTTGCCACTCACATCCAACCCCATGGACTTCCCCAGTACCACAACAGATTCCACAACAGGCATAGGGTTCTCAGGGTCAGCCCCAAACCCTTCAAAATCCCTCTCTTGGACACAATCTGGCCACAATTTTCTCCAAGCAGAGTTCAAAGTCCTGGAAGTCAATCCCTGCCAAGCCTTACCTATAAGGTTTATGCAGTGGAGGATACTGATGTGATTCCTCCTAAACTCTTAGGGTCAAATGAGTGTCTGAGGTCACTTCAAAGCACCTTTGAAACACTGTTTTTGTGTATTTTTTTGAAGTTAGAAATGACCTTCTGGTCCATGGGCTGGATGAGAGGAGTGGTGTTAGGAGGCAAGAACTTCACTGTTATAAAACAGAAGTCCCTAAACAATTGGTCTTCCAAGTCTGGAGGATGAGCAGGAGGATGAGCCAGTAGGCACCTAAGTGGCAATTTCTTTTCCAGGAGGTATTTTTTCACACTGGGGACAAACACACATTGACCCACTCTTTGAAAATGTGCATTGTGACCCATGCCTTATTATTAGCTTTCCACATCACACACAATCTATTCTTGAACACTGGGATTTTGAGAGTGATACACTAGTAAAGGCTTTACTCTTAAAACCCCACTAGCATTAGCACGGAACAAAAGAGTAATCCTGTCTTTCATAGGCTTGTGTCCTGGCAGTGCTTTTTCCTCCTGTGTAATGTAGGTCCTCTTTGGCATTTTCTTCCAAAAGAGGCCTGTTTTGTCACAATTGAACACTTGTTGGGGGAGGAATCCTTCAGCCTCCTCTTACCCCTTGAATTCCGCACAAATTTTTCAGTAGCACATTTGTCAGAACTTGCAGCCTCCCCATGCCTTACCACAATGTGTATGCCACTTCGCTTCTTAAATCTCTCAAACCAGCCTTTGCTGGCCCTAAATTCACTAACAGCAGCACTTGTTCCAGGCATTGTCTTTACTTCTCACAAATCATCGACTCCGACAACACTATCTCCCACTAATTGTTTTTCAGTGATCCACTAAACCAACAACTTTTCCATATCTTCCATTATCGGTGTCCTTTGTTTGGTTAGCACATTTACTCCTTTCGCCACATCAGCTGCCTTGATTTGTTCTTTCTTTGCCAGGATAGACGTGATTGTTGATTTATTTTTTCCATACATCCTGGCAAGTTCTAGGACCCGTACACCACTCTCATATTTTTCAATAACGTCTTCCTTAAATTTCATCATGTTTCTCACTTTCTTTACCAAATGAACTTTACTAGGAACTTTCTTTGGGGCCATGGTTACTTATTTCCCAGTTGCACTTAATCGATAACCACGAAAATCAATGAATTATAGTGAAATGTTTGGATGAGTGAGCAGAAGCTTCCTCACTTTCCCAGAGACAAAGCCAGACTGACACGCTTGCGGCTGGCAGTGGTGGGTTGACGTGTACCATATGGCCGATAAGCAAAATAACGACCGATAACCATGAGCCGAAAACCCAGCCAATAACCAAGTTGGCCGATAAGCGGAACAGCCTATAACCGAGGGTCCACTGTTCTGATATTGTGGCATTTTTTGTATCCAAAATTATGTATTTCACTTTTCTGTCATCAAATGTCTCATTTGTAACAAAATAGGAAAACAATATTAGATATTTAGATCAGCTCATATTGCTCTTTTTGTTTCTAATGAAGCATTTTTTTTATTTCCAGACCAGTTATACCGAAGCGGCAACGAGCTCAAAATGGTGATGTGGGGCAGTCTTCTCAAAAGCAACTTGTGAAAAAGGCTCCCCTTGCTGATGCTGTTCTTCGTAATAAAACTAATAACAGGGTAAGCTGTGTCTGTCAGGAAATTGTATAATTAACTAATAAATTTTGCCTAATGTTCATGATAAATTATCATGATTCATAAAGGTTGATGATAGGCTCTTAATGTAAAGAAATGTATCTACTTTAGTCTATTTTTTTTTTGTTCAGCCCTAGATATCATATTACTTCATTTTCTCCACATCCTTAAAAATGTAAGCACAGTTAAGATAAATAATAGACCATGACTTTGAGAAATGTGAATTATTGAATAATAATACTGAAACAGGTAAGAACAAGTATGTAAATAAAATAGTATAAAGAGTCTAATTTCTTAGTGAAAAACATGTGCACATATAGTATCAAAAACTGGAACAAGAGAAAAGTCATCATTAACCCTTCAGCTGGTAGTGACGTATATACTGCATTTCATTACTCTTTAACAAATCACTAGAAACCAGCACTTTCCTGACACTACTCATGATATATGTAAATGGTATACAATGCCAACAAGATGAAAATTAGACACATATTCATCATCTGGGTATCTTTAATGTAGACATTTCACCATCCAGTGGTTTTTATCAGTACAAATTCTAGGACATCGTTTGAAGACAGTTGAACTATATACAAAAGATAAAGTAATCAGCCCCTCAACCTTTGGAGTTGGTGTGAAGAGCACCGTAACCGTGAAGAATCTGGAGCACAGGCAAGAAGGCTGTATTGATAAAGGTTGTATTGATAAAGCCACTGCATGGCAAAACGTCTACATTAAAGATACTCAGATGTTGCATATGTATCTAATTTTCATCTTGTTGGTATTGTATACCATTCATGTACAACTTGTCAAACACTGCAGCATCATGGAATCTTGGTTCACAGGACATCTTCACAACTTTCTTCACTTCTACTAACCTGTCCCTTGGGTATGACCTACTTCCACTGGAGAATCCTGCCTACCAGTGACAATACCTTGGTCTGCTATCTGTCCCCTTTTCACCTGATGCCAGTACATAAGCACCAGCCTTCTTGCCTGTGCTCCAGATTCTTCATGACTATGGTGCTCTTCACAGCAACTCCAAGGCTGAGATATTGATTACCTCATAAAAAAAAAAAATATTTCTTTGCTAAGGTTACGATGTGTGTTTACATATCATAATTTGATTGGAGCAAAGAAAGCCACTATCATGCTGAGGCATCTCAGGCAGACTTAACCTGATACTTGTAGACTATTTAATTCTAGACAGGTGAAGAGTTTTTTACTATGAGGTAGTACAATTTATGATGCAATCTTACATTTTTAAGTTTGTAATTAAGTTCTTTTACAGTGTTAGAATACATATACAGTGGACCCCCGGCATACAATATTAATCCGTTCCTGAGAGCTCATCGTATGCCAAAATTATTGTAAGGCTAATTAATTTTCCCCATAACAAATAATGGAAATCAAATTAAGCCGTGCAAGACACCCAAAAGTATGAAAAAAAAAGAAGTTTTACCACATGAAATATTAAGTTTAATGCACACAAACTGAAGAAGACGTGCACAGTTAGTAGTATTCTACTAACAATAGAATACATGACACTTAACTTTAATGAAGATCTTGTGATGATTGATGGGATGGGAGGAGGGGAGAGTGTCGAAGTTGGTGTTTAGAAGGGGAATCCCCTTCCAATAGGACTTGAGGTAGCAAGTCCTTTTCTGGGGTTACTTCCCTTCTTATTTTAATGCCACTAGGACCAGCTTGAGAGTCGGTGGACTTCTGTCGCACAACATATCTGTCCTTAGAGGCCTGTACCTCTCGTTCCTTTATGACTTTTCTAAAGTGGTTCACAACATTGTCATTGTAATAGTCACCAGCACGGCTTGCAACAGCTGTGGGAGGGTAACTTTCATCCATAAAGGTTTGCACTTTTGTCCACATTGTACACATTTCTTTAATCTTTGAAGTAGGCAACTTCTTCAATTTCTCTATCCCCTCCTCCGAAGCAGTTTCCTCAGGTCTGGCCTCTTGCTGTTGAAGATGATCTAGCAGCTCATCAGTGGTTAGTTCTTCATTGTCCTCCTCCACCAACTCTTCCACGTCCTCCCCACTAACCTCCAACCCCAAGGACTTACCCAATGCCACAATAGATTCCTCAACTGGCATAGGATTCCCAGGGTTAGCCTCAAACCCTTCAAAATCCCTTTTGTCTACACATTCTGGCCACAGTTTCTTCCAAGCAGAGTTCAAGGTTCTCTTAGTCACTCCCTCCCAAGCCTTACCTATGAGGTTTACAAAATTGAGGATATGAAAGTGATCCTTCCAAAACTCTTTTAGAGTCAATTGAGTGTCTGAGGTCACTTCAAAGCACTTTTGAAACATAGCTTTTGTGTACAGTTTCTTGAAGTTGGAAATGACCTGCTGGTCCATGGGCTGCAGGAGAGGAGTGGTATTAGGAGGCAAAAACTTGACCTTAATTAAGCTCATGTCCCCAGAAAGTCGCTCTGCCAAGTCTGGAGGATGACCAGGGGCATTGTCTAATACCAGGAGGCACTTAAGGTCTAATTTCTTTTCAATTAGGTAATTTTTCACATTGGAGGCAAATGCATGCTGTAACCAGTCGTAGAAAAAGTCCCTAGTGACCCATGCCTTACTGTTTGCCCTCCACAGCACACACAAATTAGCCTTGAGGACATTGTTTTGCCTGAACGCTCTGGGAGTTTCTGAGTGATACACCAATAAAGGCTTCACTTTGCAATCACCACTAGCATTGGCACACATCAGAAGAGTAAGCCTGTCTTTCATAGGCTTATGTCTTGGGAGTGCCTTTTCCTCCTGAGTAATGTAGGTCCTGCTTGGCAATTTCTTCCTAAACAGGCCTGTTTCGTCGCAATTAAACACTTGTTCAGGTTTCAATTCTTCACTGTCTTATGTAATCCTTGAATTCCTTCACATATTTTTCAGCTGCTTTTTGGTCTGAACTGGCAGCCTCGCCATGCCTAATCACACTATGTATGCCACTACGATTCTTAAATCTTTCAAACCAACCTTTGCTGGCCTTAAATTCACTCACATTACCACTAGTTGCAGGCCTTTTTTTAATAAAATCCTCGTGCAACTTCCTAGCCTTTTCACATATGATCGCTTGAGAGATGCTATCTCCTGCTATCTGTTTTTCATTTATCCACACCAATAACAGTCTCTCAACATCTTCTAACACTTGCGATCTCTGTTTCGAAAACACAGTTGCACCTTTTGCAAGAACAGCTTCCTCGATTGCCATTTTCTTGGCCACTATAGTAGTAATGGTTGATTGGGGTTTGGTTACAACCTGGCCAGCTCCGACACACGCACTCTACTTTCGTACTTTGCAATTACAAATATCTCTTTCTTCATTTCCATAGTAATTAGCACCCTTTTTCTCGCAGGGTTGGCACTAGAAGCTTTCTTGGGGCCCATGGTGACTTATTTTGCAGAAACAAGCACCAAAAACACTGTGATAATATGGAATGTACCGAATGTATGCTTAGATGCGAGCACACTGGCTGGCTTGTAAACACTGGCACGCACGGGGCAGTTCATGCCACACGTGGACGCGTCCCGGATGAATCGCATGTGGCGGGTTTTTTAACGTGTGGCGAGACAAAATTTTTGCGTTAAAATGCATCATATGCCGGATTTAACATATGCCGATGCCATCGGATGCCGGGGGTCCACTGTATTCTCTATTTCACTCTATTATTAATATGGGGTAGTACAAATTATGATGAAGTCATACATTTTTAGGTTCATAATTAAGTTCATTTATTCTATTATTAATATGAGGTAGTGCAATTAGTGATACAAACATATATTTATAAGTTTGTAATAATAGCTTAATAGTTAAGGAATAAGAAAATATTTGGGGGAGTTGCTTTGAATTTGGTTGGGGTTTAGCATGGTGTGGGTATGTTCGTTATTGAGATTGATTTTTGAGCATGGTCCTAAACTGATTTGTGAGCAGGAAACCTCTTGCTGTTTCAGGCAAAGAGTTCCAGAACTTTGGGTCCTTTATGTGCATTGCATTTTTGCAAAGAGTGAGACGGACACGAGGGATGTCAAAAAGTGTTTTGTGCCTCATGTTTTGTCTGTGTGTTCTGTTGAAGCTGTCTAGAAGTTTGATGTTGGCAGTTAATGTTCTGTATATGTAGTAGGCACAATAATAAGTGTGTATATTATGTATATTAAGTAAGTTTATGTTTTTGAAGAGAGGTGGGGTGTGATGTCTGGCACTGGACTTTGTGATCATTCACACTGCTGCTTTTTGTTGGGTTATTAAAGGTTTGAAGTGATTGGCTGTTGTAGATATCAAGGCACAAATACCATAGGTGAGGTAAAGGTATATATATTAGAGAGTGATATAAGGTAAGGAGGGCCCTCTGGGGTACATAATATTGTCTTGGAAAGGATACCTACTGTTTTGGAAACTTTTTTAGTTATATGCTGGGTGTGGGTATGAAATTTAAGATTACAGTCAAGGTGAAGACCTAGGAATTTGCCCTCAGTGTGTCTTGTAATGGGTGAACCATTTATCGATATGTTTAGCTGGATATTTGATGCTCTGTTTCCAAAAAGCATGAAATAGGTTTTGTCTATATTGAGAGTAAGTTTGTTGGTCTTCATCCAGTTTGATATTTTATGTAGCTCGCTGTTTACAGTGTTACTAAGTGTAGCTGGGTTTGGGTGGGAGAAGACATAAGTAATGTCATCTGTGAATAGAACTGGTTTAAGGGGTCATGATGCATTTGGGAGGTCATTGATGTAAATAAGAAAGAGCAAAGGACCTAGGACACTTCCCTGTGGCACTCCAACAACTACAGGTTGAGTATTGGAGGCCATGCCAATTGTGTATATGTACATACTAGTATCTACCACTAAGATAAGATTTTAGGTAGTTGAGTAAGTGTCCTCTGACCCCATAAGGCTCTAGTTTTAGGTGTAAGATATTGTGGTCTACTGTATCAAATGCTTTACGTAGATCTATGAAGATCCCCAGAGGATAT